TGGCTGGTCATCAGGCTGCGCCATCTACTCTGCAGCTGTCAGTCCTGTCCCCCTCCCCCTTTTCTCTATACCTGCTCTCCCCTCTCCTGTTTTCCTTCCCCCTACCTCTGACCTCCACTTTGCGCAATCTACTGTACACAGAGTGGTAGTCCTTCTTTTTCTGCTGCCCATGTCTTGTTCCTTCCCTCCCCTTCTCTCCTCTTCCCTTCTCTTCTTCCTTGATTCTCTCCCCTCTTCTCTCTTCCTTCTCTCTTTTCTATCTTTTTTCTTTCTCTTTTCTCTGCTGTTTGCAGTTGCCTGTCTTCTTTTTTTGGTTGCTTCCCCTCCCTCTCTCTCCCTCTCTCTCTCTCTCTGTATCTCTCTTTTCTCTTTGTTCCATATTGTGTCCTCACGCTAGTAGATGGCACCGTTCCTAGGATAAGAGCAAAACACCAGCCAATTTCAACACAAAAAAATGGCACTGCCCTATCTTTGGACCATACCCCTGTGCCAAGTCACTTTTTGTCCTTGGGGCTGTGTACCATGCCTACCGCTCCTGATTTTTTGACGTTTTGTTGCACCATCTGGTTTGCACTTAGTGTAAATATAAATAAATATATACATCATCTTAGTTTTCGCAACGATTTATCTATTTGGGGGGATCTCTCGGATCATTTCAAAACCAGATCAACCATTTTTCGACGTCTTTGACCTCCATGTGGGGTACTCGCCTTCGGACCGAATACCTTCTGCCCATGATGCCCATCCGAGGTCTTCGGACCGAGGTCTTCGGCCGGCCGAATTCGGCTCGCACCTCCAGGCCCGTACGGTCTCCAGCACCTCCGGCGCGGATGGCGCCCTGCCAGCCTCGCGGGCTGAGGTGCTCCATGGCGAGGTGCGGTTCGCGCGCGACACGGGCGGGTCAAGCGGTGCTCCATGGCGATGCGGTTGAATTCCCACCGGATCTGTGGCATTTGGTGAAGTGTTTTTCTATTTTTTGTTTGAAGGTTTGGGGTGGTGGTTTTCATAGAGAGTGGATGGATGTTTCAACACTGCTTTGTAGTACTATCATTATATGTTTCGCCGGCCGAGTTCGCGAAACATGCCGGCAGAGTTCGCCAGGCCAGGTAGCAGACAACAGACTAAGAACACCTCCCAGAATTGAAGGCGAACTTTTGCAAGTTGAAAGCTCCTGGTTCAAAATAGTTCAAAAGCAAGATAGACGGACTCGACTCCTTAGTGGGACCGACTGCATCGGTTTTTCGGTGGTCCATGCCACTGTGATCATAGGCCTCACACGCCAGAAGTATGAAGCTTTTACAGGTGTCCACCCACACTTCTTTCCAAGTAACATCATGAAGGGAAAACATCTGCGGATGTGCAACATGAGCAGCAGCAGATGTCGGACACATCACACCATCTGCTGACCTATCAGATCAAACAGCTTAGAAGGCTGGCTGTGGGTTGATGGATTTTGCCGTCTGCAGGAGCTTGGTGCCGCTTACTGTAGATCATTTCCTCAGTCGATTTGGCCGTTAGAGGGCTTCTGGAAAAACCCTGCAGAGTCCCTCCTTGTTACTGGAAACAGAGTTGGAACCTCTACTGCCTCTACTTATATAGCTTTTTCCTTGGATCCCTCCAACATCCCACAACTATTTCACCGCCTTCGGAAAGCCGCGCACATGGACGCCATCGACGCCAAACACCTTTGGGGCAAGACGTGGCCCCCATGCTCCGTGCGTCGCGTGGCCCCGGTTGGTCCCCTCGCGCCGAGGTCCGTTCCAAAATGGTGACGAAGACCTCTGGCAGCATCCTCGTGGCCCTGGATACCGCCGGGCTCCACAAGAAGAGACCGGACCCCGGGATGCATGAAGATCAATTCCGTTTCTTCATGTTGGGTAAAGGGGGGGTTTGCCCCGACTGCAACATACAGAGGGTCAGAAAACCTTGTGAACTGATAGATGTTGACGCCGGGGCAAACCCCCCCGTTGGCCCTTCATTCATGTTGCTCAATTCCGTGGACCGGTGGAATCCATGTTGAGGTCTCAAGTCGTTGCTCGGCCGTTGGGAAAAAGCTTGGCCGCATCCACTTGAACCCGTTCGAACGGGGACGGCCTGGGGTCGAAGACGGCCTGCATGCCTAGAAGAGAACAGAGATGGAACCATATGGAAGCTCGAAGCTCACAACCTGGCATGCAATGGAACTGGACCCTTCTCACCATTTTCAGGGATTGTATCTCCCAGGCATTGCAGGCACTGGATTTCTGGGTGGTGAATCCACTCCTTTTCGGGCACCCTGTTCGGTTCCCCGAACAAGACAAGAGAGACACCCCTTTTGAAGCCACTAGTGATACGTTCCAACCCCGTCCCCCAGTCCCGTGTGCCCGTCGTCTCGCTCGACGTGGATGAGCTCAGATCTTCCGCAATGCCGGAAAGCACCAGATTCTTACTGGCTAATGTGGAGGCCTCAGGGTCCCTGAGGCTTGTCAGTGTTTGTGTCGAGTTGATATGAGGAACCATGATACTATAGTCACTATAGACTAGAACTGTTGCTTCTGAAGATGGCATTTTGGGTCAAATGTTTGTAAAGTTCTCTTCCAGGTTGGAAAGGGGCATGAATGGAACGGCTGCGGCTATAACTTGATTGCAAATGGTCGACAGTTGATGCGGAATCGTTGATTGCCTTGATCTTCCAATCTTTGAGGGAGGACACAATTTTTTGAAAATTGTAAGTTCAGACAGGGTGAAGGACCGATTTACCTGGGAACAGGAAAACAACACCTATGAAAAAATGGGCACTCACCTTTCAAACCTCACATCCAAGGTCAAGGAGTCAATTTTGATCCCTCGAAGAGAAGAAGAGCTACTTTCATTTTTGTGCCCTGCTACTAGTAGCTTCTTGCTACTAGTAGTAATGCCCTTGTTGCTACCCTCCTCTTGAAATAAAACAGCTCCGGTCTCCCAGCAACCACGGTTCATGTCCGTGCCTCGAGGCAACGACGGTTTTCTGCGAGAGAAAAGCGGTTCACTGGCGGGACCGGTGGGACGGGAGTTGTGGACGGGGGTTCTCTAAAAGGGAAGACAGTCGGAAGGCATCTGATAATGCTGAACATGAATGAAAATGAGAGCAAAGTTTAAATCCTTCCCATGACAATTTGAGACAATTTGCTAAACACATATTGTTCAGAAACATGGGGGAGATTGAAACGAACGTGGCTCTGTTACGTTGCTGTAAATGGATTCCCACGGAGTCTTGCAGCAGAGGTTCACGTTTATAGTTTTGATGACAACATTGGCAGCTGTTTGTAAAGAGCGGTGGCGTCGAATTGGGATAGGATGTGTCCTCTTGACGCTACCCGATGCCGATAGGTGACAGTCAGTGACAGGTACTTTCTTTCATCGGCTTTTTGGACTGAACAAATTTGAGATTTGCTGTTTAGACTGGCTTTGAGAGCTTTTTGGGTCAAAGCTATCACAAGGAGCAAAAGGACACCGTGTCAGCGTCACCTTCCTCGATGATGAGATTCTCGAACCGGATGAGACAGATGCCATGAAATCCACCGTTTCGGATGTTTGTGAAAAGAACAAGTCCATCGCTCCCAGGTCCATGTTGGTTCCTTTTTTAGCTGTGGAAGGCGGCTATATATCTAGTTCCAGCCTGAGACGGCCCGATTCCAAATTCGCATATGGGACAACAGGACGTGAATCGAGATAGAGTATCTCAAAGAACCAACAGGAGTCCCATCTCTTCAGTCATCCCCCCCAAAAAGGGTTCCCTTCCTCAGACTCACAACCAACATGTTGCACGTCCGTCACAGAACGCCAACGCCAACACAACAGGTCCGGTGCCCCGTCCCACGGCCTCGACCGTCCTGCGCCGTTCCCGCTGCTATGGCGCGGTGCCGGGTCCCGGTGGCTCGATGGGCGCAGGCCGCCTTTTGGTGGGTCGTGGCGCAGGCCTTTGGTTTTCGCTTCTTAGAATGTCTATAGTGAAAACGAATGATCTATAAATAGCCCACAAGGGAATGATCTATAGTGAATGACCTATAAATAATCATCACCCACAAGTCGATAGAATAGTTACTGTATGTGACTTCACGAAGAAACAGCTGGGACATGACATGCTGAGACAATTCTGGTTTTTCTTTCCAATTATTCGAGGACGAGGTTATAACCATCCTGAAGTGGAACAAGATTCATGCCGGCAATCAATTGGAATCGTGATTGTTTTGACAGCCATGCGGAGCAAGAGAAGATGAGGATCAACAGCTGGTTGGGGGGAACGGAGTCACTTCTACTGAGGATGTCGAGGCATTCTTAAGCACACATGAGATATTCGAGGAGCTTCGTCTGTTAGTCCTTCAGTGCGTTCGGAACCGGGTGCAAGCCGCAACGAGCAGGTTTGCCTCCTGCTTCTCAGAGTGGATGCTGCTGGAAAGCATGGGAATGCAGAGTTTCAGAAGGCCATCTCTGTTGCGCATCGCATCTGCACGGTCGGAGAGCGTGATGGAAGGAGGCCGTGACCAAGGTCGGAGTCTTGGAAACTTGGTATCATGGGTATCATATGCACTTCCCAAACACTATGTGTATCTATGTGTGCCATATATGCCGCCCCATTGACCCCTCAAACCACCCCAACTGATCGGCATATATGGCAGTCCCATGGCTTTGATATGCATTTTGGACACTTGGAACCAGGATGCGAAAACCAAGCGACCAACATCCCAAGCTGCGACCAACAATTGGAACTTCTGCTGTGCGAAATGCATGATGTTCCTCTTGGGCCGAGCAGCTGCCGGGGTGGGTCTCCACTCATCTACATGAACTATTCATCTACAAGCGGAAAACCCTTTGTTTTGCAGACTGGCAGAACAAATTTTCATCCAGCAGGGCCATTGCCATCCACTTCCATTAAGGTACACTGGAGTGTACCCGCTTCGACAGAAGGGTCATGTTCAGGTGCCCAACCACCTCCGTTTTTAACCCTGCTGGGCGACCCTGCCGCGAGACCGGCAGCGAGTCCACTGTGTGTCCGCGAGGATGCGTCACTCGAGGTTCTCGGCTTCGCGTGTTTTCACGCAGGTGGAATTGCCACATCATTCCTTCTCCGCTCCGCAGGGGCTCCCAGGTGGAATTGCCATCGTGATCCATCGAAAGTGTACCATCATTCCTTCATATGTGAAAAAGCAGATGCGGCAAATACACCACATCTGCTTCAAATGCTCCATCTGTTTGCCGCATGATGTGTTCTTTCATGTTCTTTCTCTTGTGCCATGCGGCCAACAGATGTCTATTCATGTCTATTCAGCGGCTGTTTGCTTGCTTTTTGTATCGGCCGTGTTACAAAACCAGGGTAGGTCAACGATCTAAGGCCGATTGCATATGGTGATACATGGTGTGTATCAGAATCGGGAGACCGGTCTTGGTGTCGTTTCCTTCTTCCCAGAGGTGCAAATAGGGGGGTATCCCGGATTTGAACCGCACATCCAAATGATGTATCCGAGTCAAATTGATGTTGCTCCCTTATAAGTTAAACATGATGTATCTCTTCAACATGATGTATGTTCGGAACAAGCACACCCCTTCGAACTCGTGCCTGCTTGCGTGCCCAGGCTCGAGTTCAGCAACCTGCTGGGTGACTGGATGCTGAGTGGGTCGAGCATCTTTTTGAGGCGCGGTTTGAAAACCGCGCGGTGGCGGTGGCGACTCCTTGGTTGACCCGCTGGCAGCTCTTGGAATTGGAGCAGAGTTCTTGGAGAGTCCGGTTTCACTTTTACCCCCTGGCAGTGGTGCATATGCTGAGCCTCCAGGGGTTTCGTTCGGTCAAGTCACGGAAGTTCGGGTTCCTCACGGTCTGAGCACCGGGTGGATTGAAAGGTCGGCTTCGCTTTCCAAAGAATACACACCAAACATTGATCAAGAAATTGCTCAGTTGAATTCAGTTAGGACTCCCACCTGAAAGCAGTGGAAAAACCCGAGACGCTCCTTTCAGACCACCAAAAAAGAAACAGTTCAGCTGGTCTGGACGTCCAGCTGGTCTGGATGTCGGTTCCGACATCGGAACCCCCGTGCGCGCGACCGGTCCCCCGCAGGGAGCGCTTGCTGCTACATCCCCATGTGAACGAACGCTGCTGGGCAGAAGTGACCGGGTGCGGTATAGCTGGATTCAGTTCTTCGAGTGGTTTTGAGATGAACTCTGATACAGATATTGGAGATTTGGAATTAGAGGTTGGGTGTGTCTTCAACTACCAATCTAGTCACTGCCTTTCCCATGCGATGAAACCTCTCAATGGACAGATTTATTCTTATACAGTACATAAATTATTCTTACGTGCAGAACATTTCATGAAGAGTTGCTGAGGAGGTCCAAAACCAGTGGAACACGCAGGAGGATTTGGAGGTACTTGACCGAACAAGCGAATTTTTCAAGCTCTAAAAGACTGAGTTTTTGGTGCCCATCTATACCACCGAGCATTGCCACTTTCAGCCTACCTCTCGTGGCGTAAGGTGAACACGCACACAAGCCAAGCACAAAGCACATCAAAGCACTGCTATCCGCCTATTCTCTTGGACCCATTGTTTGCACCATGGGCGCATGGCTTGGACCGGTACGGTGGTCCCCACTTCCCGCTCGCACGGAAGAAAAAAACACCGTTGAGGCCAAGGGTTTGCTTGGAACAAGCGGCCCCTGCAGACCAATGACTTTCAGGCTGATGTGACGGCGATGTGACGGCGAAACATGTTTCTTCGGACCAGAGGTGGAGGTGACGAGGTGCTGTACCACGTAGGAGGCACTGTGCAATGCAGAGGAGGCACTTGCCCATGCATGTAGCAGTAGCACGTAATTGTAGGCTATGGTTCAAGGCAGCCAGTTTCAGTACAGGGCGGACTGCAGTAGAAGAAGGGACGACTCACCCTGCCTCGAGATTTGTTGGGCCTATGCTTTGCGTCACAGGAAAGCCCTCCTCCGGGGTTCACAGTTGACCATGCCAACATTCGCATTGTTGTGGGTGTGGGCCAACCCTCAAATTGGGCGACCCCTGAACTTGTGAACTGGTGTTTTGCCATCCAGTTTGGACGGTCCATGCCACCCCGAACTCTGGGCCATCGTCCGTCAGAACTTGAGAAGTCTGAAGCCGCACCAATAACACGAAATGCAAGCTCACCCACCTCACCGCCTCAAAGTAACCTGCCTCAACCGCCCGGCTCCTTCCCTCGCTTCGCTCCACGGAAGACGTCGCGCCGCGCCAACGCCGCCTCTTCCGGCGCAGCTCACCGCCACCTTCGTGGCCAACGGCGCCAAGGACGTCTCGCAGGCCGAGTCCCGTCCGGCGAGTCGCCGGGGACCTCGCCGTCCTCGTCGCTCGGCTCGGTGGTCTTTTCAAGCCTCGGTTCTGCCGCGAGGAAGGTGGATGGAGGTTGGGGAGGGTGGAGAGGTTGACGGGGGGGTCAGCATGTTTGTGGGCAGCTTTGGGTTCGGTTACATCATATTTATATAATTGTGATAATACTGTATATGATTCAATCTGTCGAAGCTGATCTGGCTGCCATTCCTCCACTCACATAGGAAAGTGGGAATTTGGAAAGGAGAAAGGGAAACGCTTGTGGCAAGGAAAGCCCAGAACAAGACCATTAAAGATCAGGTTGACCTGGTTTTGTAGTGTAAAATCATTCGAAAAACAAAGGCTACTAAATCAATGGTGGCTCAGGAATCCTAAGAACACCACATTGGCAGAACCGACCAGCGCACACCACGTTGGCTTTCGCCGACAAACACACCCCACCTGCGGTCGCAGGCGCCGAGCGACCAAAGCTTTGCCTTCTGGTTCGTCCGGCAGAACATCTCCGGCGACTTCAACGAGACGCGCATGATCCGCGTGCGGATGCCCGGACCCAGGTGAAACAGGGCAGGCAGAGGGCATGCGAGTAACATGCCCATGATGGTATATCTAGAGGTTTTGACGTACTATTACGAACAATAGAGGTTGTGGTGCTGAAACTATAGTATGCATGCAAGAGAAAGCTCCTTGCGCCTTGCACTGTCATTGGCGGCACAAGAAGACGTGCTCAAGATGAGCCTTGCCAAATGGCTCCAAACCGTAGATCTTCGCTGGCATGGGACACAGAATGAACAAGAGACTTGTCATTGTGCACATTGACCAGCAAGAATGCTACCTACACAAGAGCATTAGCATCACACACTTTGCCTTTTGCCAGAGTTCAACATCCTTGGAAGTGAAGCAGACTGAAAACCACAAAAAAAGGCAACCACTGCAACCACAAAATGTATCCTCAAAGAATCATGAGCAGCGCAGGAAATCGGGGTGCCACTTTTCAATGCCTGCAATCATAGAGTTGTCTCATTCCCCTCCAACTTTCTCGACAGGAGCCACAAAGAGCTCACAGCTAAATTCCCTCATCTCGGATGACGCACGCGTGTGCTCCAGCGCATCTGACCAAACTCGCCCGCTGGTTTGCTTCGTCGTCTCTCAGGCGGCTTCGTGGAAGCAAGGTCTAGAGGAAGAGGGCTACATGTTGAGCGGATCCAAGGCATGTTGGGACGCGAACGGACACGGGGGCTCAGGTTTTGGACAGATATGAGGCTGCTTTTTTGATCAGAGAAGAATTATTCGATGGGGAATGGAAGAATTGTTTCAGCACCTCATATGAGAAAGATTGAGAAAGTATCAAGACTCTAAGACCCAGCATGTAAGAAACTCGGCGATCACGGATGAAGGTGACGGGACTCGGAAGTCAAGAATATCAGCTGCTGCTGAGCGATCATATGGTTACACTTCCATGAGCGGCGTGCGCGGCTGACAACGGCTTGCTACCCACGCTTGAACTGGTGTTATTTTTGGGGTTTTGATGCCTTCTGTTATCTGTGCCCCGCTAGAAGGGTGTATAGGGGGCCCCATGCAGTAGCCTGCACCAAGATCTGCATTGATTTCTGGAAGATCACCAGGCTCAACATCAGGGCGAAACTATTGTGCAGATCCTGAATTGCACGATTTTTCGGGATACCTTTCAATGCAGTCGCTGCGCTCTGAGCTTCACGCGCGACTTTTTGCCCCATCCCCGATGTGATGGCGCTCCAATGGCTCGCGCGCCACCAGGCCCTCTTCGAAGGGATTGGAGCTGCAGCTTGGCATCGAAAAACGCCTGGACCCGACGGGGACGGCGAGGCGGTGAAGGTGGATCTTGGGACCTGAACGTTCCTGTAAGGTCCACTAACATGATCTACAGCCACAGTGGACATCTTCCGGGCAAATGTCGGTTCAACATGTTTCAAAGAACATGTATTCCTGAAGTCTTCAAAGAAAAACCGCTTTGCTTCCAAAGCGTTGCGTCGGTGAGGGGATTATTCATCGAATGGAATCGAGAAAATCCATAGACATCTCCTTCATCGAAGGTCAGGAGATGAAGCAACCTGCCTTCAGCGCAGCTGCACAGACAGGTCACACGTCTACGGTCACCTCCTCCATGTCACTGAAACCTCCTGGAAGATGAGATCTCGGCTTCGCCAGGGTTCCGAAAGAAAGGTCCGAAAAAGATTCCCCCAAAATAGATCAACGTACGATTCGATTGTTTTGCATGACATCTTATATGGTCGGTTTCAGACTCATGACATCCATTTAAAGAGGTGATGAACACTTGGGGGTCACTTCGCTGGGACCAGAGGTGTTCTCCAGCGAAAGAGCGGGATCCAAGGTCTTCTCAACCTCCGATGTGGCGAAGAAGCCCAACACGGCTGTTTCCTTTGTGAGCCGCTTGCCTGTCTTCAGGAGTGCTCTACTTAACATGTAGCTTATCTTAGTATCTTCTATTTTGTGATGAGCTTGCAATAACAGACATGGTTTTGGGGGTGGAGTCCAGACAGAGGTGTCCATGAGTATCTATACCGAATGCGGTTTCTGGATACGACTCGGTTTCTGGACCCCGAAACCAGAGTTTTCTGCAGCTCGACATGGGCTTGAGATGAACGGCATCCCTCGCATCACGAAGGTCTAAGAGACCCAAACGGACCTGCCCAACGGACCTTGGTTTCAGGGCGACCGATGACCCATGATGACCCCCGAGCTGATCAGCCGTCAGGCCTGCTGTGAAGCATGTTGAATTCTGGAAAGCATCCAGAGAAGGATCTATATAATCTATCAGTGCTGACAGAGTTTTATGTATGCCAGGTGGTGGAAAGGGTGGTGTCATTGCTTTTCTTCCATCAACAGAACCTCATGAGGATGGTAGCAGTTGTGATGATGCGGCTTCGATGATTGGTAGAACGGGAAGCGGATCTTTCCCTTTCAGATGGTTTTGGTCGGTGAAAGTGAAGCTCCCCGGTAGACCATACACACTGGGGTTCCTAGGCGCTACCAATGGGGTGGAGTCCACCTCTCAAGGCCTTTTTTGAGGGTCGCTGAAAGCCAAACAGCAGGCATGCCTACTTGGCTGTGGGCACCCAGAGCCCTAAACCCGGTGGGTTGACTTCCTGGTACGCCACAACCAGCTCATTTTCTGTGGTCAACCAGCATCCCCGGTTTTGACCCACAGCCACCTTTGACCTTGAGCAACAATGTGAGAAGGCCTTCAAGCCTTCCTCTTTACCTTCTCAAGTGCCACATGTTTGCTGCCCCCATGCCGCACCTGCAGTTGATGCTGAAGTATGATTTGCCAGGCCTGTGGATGGATTGCAACGCAACAGAACTATCCCCCTTGGACCGTTCGGGTGAAAAGTCATCAGAACGCACATGCAGTTTTGTCAGCTGGAGACCTTCAGTCCTTCGCCCCACTTGCCCTGCCCTTTCGCCCCTCCCAAGCTCTCCGCTTGCTCTGCGACATCGCCGGCGGCCCGAACCGTGGGGCCCAGCAACATCGCCGCCCAGACATCTGCTGCGGCAGGGGTTTGTCCCAGTAACCTGTAGAGGCCGTCGGTCAAGGGGGCCTTACACTCCCGAAAACGCACATGGACCCTGACTGTCTGGCCCCAAGACCTTCCGCTGAGGTAACGACAATCACCAGAGCCTCAGCTACTTCGTGGACGTTCCCACCAGCAACGCCAAGGCGTGTGACGCAGTTGGGGGTTTTGTCGGCGCGTGACATCTGAGATGGGAGACTGAGGACGAGAGTCCCGTACGCCAACGAGTCGTCCACCCCTTTTGACATGATTTCGTGATCGTTTTGTATCTCATATTGGCCAACCATGTCGGCTCCAACACCCACCAAAAGTAGAGAAAAACCCATCTCTTTTGGTTCCCTCAGCATGGACAGATCAGTTGGATGTAGCTTGCTCAAAGAGGCATCCAGTTGCTCCACCAACTGTGCTTCAGACATTGACTTGAATGGATGTTATAGCTGTTAGCTCAGCAGTACGTGAACTCCCTATTAAAGCTCTTCGGCCCTGGCCAAAAACGGAAAGAGCTCCAGAGCTTGTGGTTTCCATTTCGGGACCGGAGCAGTGATCGCAGTGACCAAACAAGATCGGATCCATCGAAAAGATATACACAGTAAAAGATGATACAAGTGACTCAAGTGACTTGAAACAAATTCAACCACACGAAGCAAGGATAGTACAGTCACCTTTTTGCGGAATGCTGCTTTTTTGGCTCGCTCTCTTGGGTGAAGAACAGCCTTTTACATGTCGCATGTCATGACTATCTCGTTTCGAAGGTTTCATTCCAGATCTTTGGATCGCCAGATCTTGGACTTCCGAAACAAAGAGGTGGAGTTCAAGTTCCGAGTGCAGCCAACCTTGGTGCAGGTGCCGACCTTGGTGCCGACCCGGGTCGGTGTTTGGTTCGGAAGGACGGTGGGTAGCTCTTAGCGAAGCTGAGCCTGAGCCGGACCTGCAAACATAGATCGAGTCATAGATGCAAAGAGAAACGAAGGTCAGGTGTAAGGTCAGGTCTTTTGGCATGTTTTGGTGCAAACGATCCAAACTTTCATACATAGACTATATAGACCTAATTGTACCTAATTACTTGTCGTTGCTTCATCCAGCGTGGTATGTGGCAAGAGGAGACAACTGTGTATGGCATCCATTTCTTGGTACAACTCTGAGGTCTTGCAGGGCTTGGCTTCATGTACAAATCAAAGGCATCCAATGTGAACTCTACGCACTTTTGAGAGTGGACGGGCCACGGGCCCTGAGAGGCAAATGATCCATCACACAACCAGATACTCCCTGGAACTAACATGGAAGTGGAGGGTACCCCCTGTTTGTAGAGGATTTCATGATCTTCCAAGGGACCATGCTATCCACTTCCATGTTAGTTCCAGGGAATGTCACCAACTATCATACCACCTTCCTTGATTCGACATGGGATCCGGTCTTTGTTCACTCCCCCAAACAGCTCAGCTCTGCCAGTAGAGGCCCAGCAGCTCTGATTCTTCCTGCGCTTCCAAGGCATTCCTCACCTTGGATGGCCAGACCCACGAGTGCTTCTCGGTGGATCGCGCGGGCTTCCCGGTGAAGGCCGCCCCGCGACTCCGCGGACAGACCCGCAGGGGGATGGCGGGGGTGGGGGAACATCGCCGAGAGGTCCGTGAAAGAGGAAGGCTGGTTTGGAGCAAGAGCTTTGCGGACGAATTCCAAAAACAGCAGGTGAAAGAGGAGTCGAAATATCACCCCCCAAAACGACTTCAACTCGTGCCACTGCTGATTCCCGAGGCGCCTCCCACCGCGACCACGACGGCGACCGGTCGCCAGGTGGGTGGCTTTATTGGCTTTACGGCCTGGAGCGGTTGGGGGCCCCAACCACGAGCGGAGCGGTCGACCGCGCTCTCCGCTCTCCGCTCGACCAGGTCGTGCGGACCCCGAGGAGGAGGTCTCTATGGTGAGCACAGGGTTGATCGGGAGGCCAGAAAGCCGAACCCCCTTCGCTATGTTCCATAAAAGCTTACAAAGGCCAACTGAAGGGCGATGGCCAAGACGAAAAGGAGATGTTGGATCGCCCGGCTGACACCTTTTGGACACCTTGAAAACCAAGGTTGATCCCTAAAAAGCTGACCCAGCCAAGAGCCATGTTTGATCCCCAAAAGTGTAAAAGAGATCCAAAAGAAAGACTTGAAGAACCCGAAGTCTCGGTACCCGAAGTGATCCCAACAGTTCTGCATTTTGCTGGTGTGTCTTGAATATCGAAGGACCAACTCGGCCGACTCCCAGGTTCTGCTGGTGATGGTAGCATGATCTCGGACGCCATCTCCGTCACGAAGGCTGTTCTTTTTTTTCAGAGCGAACGGAGAACAGCGGTGAGTCACTTGATGGTGCTGGGCGGCTGGAAGGACCTCAGTTCGCACCATGGATATCGGATGATATCGGTCAGATCACTCAAATCCCATCAGTTCACCCCAGGCTGGAACTCTCAGCATCCCATCTTCCCTTCTCCTTTTTCTTTGGATGGGTCTTTACAGGGTGAAACAGGGGAGAACACCGTGCAGTTCGTGGGTGTGCATGTGTGAATCTGGCCCACAGCTCAAACAGCTGTGTGGCTAAATAGATGGCTTGTTAGGACATGAAGGCCAGGCTGCTAATATAAAGCAACCAGACCACCCCAAACACCTTTCCGACCTGATTGGTCAGCAGTTACAGCAGTTATGTAAAACACATATCATGTTCCGGCAGATCCAGTGATGTTTTTCGCACCATCTGCCGCTCGCCGCTGTAGGTCGAAGTCATCAACTTCGACGATGAGGCTATCGGTGAAGACGTGGTGGGCGCCACGGCGGAGGAGACGTCGGCGTGCGCCGCGTCACGGTGCAAGGTGCCCTAAATTAGAATCAATAAGATGTCGTGTCATCCAAAAAGGTGCTCAATTTCTGGAAGTGGAGGCTGACCAGTTGCTAAAACTAACAGCCCAAGGGCAAACCCACCACACAAATATGGTTTTGCAACCGGCAACCATGATGGTTTTGACTCAAGGGACAGCCCATGTAACTTAAGTGATGCTGTCCCAAGAGACCTCCCTGATTGTTCTTCGAATGACTCCACCGCGCCTCCAGGTACAGCGAGCTGATGTCTTCGAACGCCCGGCACTTCGCGGACCAAAAGTCGCAGACCGAGCACCTCTCCCGGGTGACGAAGATGCACCTGGACAGCAAAGGGGTGTTACGTGCATACATGCGTGCGTTATAGCCGGATGATTGCATGACAAAGATCACAAAGATTCTAACGTTTTATGAGCGAGTTGGAGAACGCAGCGTACCAGTTTCGATGCTGGAGACAATGATGCTCATGATGCTAATGCATTGTCATTGCATATTCAGCACTTTGTGCATTCACATCAAAGTTTTTTGGCGCTTCTGACACAATCCATTTGGGAAATTTTGGGAAGGTATATCTCTATAGGTGATTTTCCCAAATGGCCCGGAAGAAGACCACGTCTTTGCGTAGCTGGAGGTTAGCCTCGCACTTGAAGGAGACCAAGTCTGCATCTCAGATCGGTCTGGGCTGCCTGCTCCACAGGAACAGCCCAAGTGGAACTTGCGCGTTCTTTTTTCTCCGAAATTGGATGGCCTGGCCCAGATTCCGACATTGCTGAATGCCTTATCAATATCATAAAATTTAGCCTTAACTTTTAGGGTTCATTCTTTTTCAATATGATGTACGGACAAAGCGACCCTCCAGCCATTTCGTTCGGCAATTTGAGCAAAACTTACACCAAAATGCAACCGATACATAGACTGCATAGATACTTGGGACATTGATATTCCTACCACCAGGCATGTTCTGCAACTTTCAGCGCGAGGACTGTGTGCAAGTTCGAGTCTTGCTGGGAATCCGCGTTCTTCAGCTGGTTTGGCCAATCGCGCTTGCTTGTCGCGACTTGTCGCGCGGATGGGCCGAGGCCAGCTTATGATGTGATGTCCTTCCAAGTCTCTGGAATGATGGACGCATTGAATAAGCTGCTTAGCTTGAGTACGTTTTCTCCGTGCCACTCAGTCACTTGCGACCGTGAAATTTTGGATGAGAACATGTGCGCCAAGGAAAGCAAAGCATCAAAGAGAGTTCTAAGCTGTTTGTTCATCTACAATAGGGCATCATAGAGTTGCCTCATTCGGTCAAAACGTCGATTTCGTCTCCAGATGACGCGGTGGAGTCCACCGTTGACCAACCGAGGTTGGATCGAGATTGTCGGGTTCTCACCAAGGACCGGGCGGAGGTTGGACTCCAAGCGCGGCCATGTGCCGCCGATGCCCGGCCGGTGTGGAGTTCTGCGGAACGGTGTAATGGGACGTGAGCTGATCAAGGGACCATCTGGATCCATGATCGGTTTGTAGGGCTTTTGTGCACGGAGGGGCAGTTGGACGTGAGGTGATTGGCCTTTTAATGCCCAGAAGGGCATCAGAAGGGCATGAGAAGGGCATCAGAAGGGTGCAAGGAAACCTGTGTGCAGAGGAGATGAGGATCTTAGAGAATGAGAAGATCTCCAACAGGCCGGTCCAACACGCTTGGCAGAGAGGGTGTTCAGTGAGGTGTGGAAGTCCTTCTCAGTCCTTTTGAATACATTTTTAGTGCGTGTTGGGGCTTTCAGGATGACATATTATAGCTGCCTTTCAGTAGCTTGGTGCAGGGTGGACAGCATAATGTGTAACACCTTGGCATTTTCTTGATGATGCTGTTGCTGTTTCTATTGCACCGTGGAGAGATTGTTTCCAGCTAAAGTTTGCTAAGCTGCTTCCCTTCATTTTGGAATGACAAGGAAACTAGGCCCCCGAAATCGCTGAAAAGTTTCACCACCGGAGTCCCTTCAAAAGTAGGTTTTTGGTCTTTTCGCATCGAGGTAAAGACAAAGGTTCGGTTGGATTCTTCTTGGTGTTGGAGGCACTCAATCAACCTATGTAGTCTATAGCACAGTATCTCTTTTTATAATATGTATATAATTGTGTATATATATACATAATTAATCAGCACAGGCAAGGCTTCAATCACAGTCTTATTTCTTGGATTACACTCTTTCAAGGCGACTGCATCCATTCCACAAGGGGAGGAACTTCCATGTCCTGAGTGCAGTTTTCGCCTTACCAGACCAGCTCAACGTAGGCGGCAAGCGAAAAGACCGAAGAACAACCTCGATGAGCTCAAGGCGCTTCGGCCATGCGAAGGCTTTACCCGGCTTTTGCGTGAATTTTTGGTATTTGGTGTCCTGTTTTTAAAGCTCAAAGCAAGATTCTTTGCATGTGAAGAGCTGGTTGGTGAATTGTTTTACTTCTTTTTTCTCCGAGTGTAACTAGCTGTACAGCTTGTGGATGCTAGTCTGGATGTGGCCACAGCAAAGCCTGGACATTGTCTCCAACTAGGGGCGGTTTCCAACGTACATTCTGAAAGGTGACTCCCTTTTGGATCCATTTGTTGGTTGATATATGATGATCGCATTTCATTGCATTATACTTGTATATGAATATGAATGAATCGTTCGAAAAACACAAACCACAAACATCCACTGTTCTACGCATTCTGCAGTGAAAGACCGACTTCGCCGCCAGCTCCGCCCCGGGATCCCTTCGCGTCAGCGCGCCTCGGCACGGCGGAACTCGGCGTCAGTCTCACGTCTTCGGGCTTCGGCGGATCTTAGAGAAGGAGCCCCCGGAGCTTCGGTGGTTGGGGTGGAGTTGGGACGGAGTTGGGGTGGGAGGAAGAGAAATCCGGGTCCCAAAATAGATGGAGAGGATGTTGATGTTGATTTATTTGGGGTGCGATTCAAGGGACATGTCGTAATTACAGTTCAGAATTCAGAAACTTAGAAACATGATTGATTCGTGCTGTCTTAGCCTGCGTATGTGAAATCCTGAAGTGTTGACTGGCGACTGGAGCACCGACCATGCTGTCCGCTGTCCTCCACTATCATTATGCTTGAACCATTTGGCATATGGGTTTTAGCCATGAATGGGTGGATAGTAGGTACCCCTACCCTCCAAAATACACTCCTTTGTCCGTTCCGAGTGCGGTGGGAGACATGTGGCGGAACTGGACATGTTAGGAGAGATCTGGGTTCGTGTTTCAGTAGGGAAACCCTCCAGCAATGGGTTTTGTGGTCTATGTTCCTCCTTCTAGGGATTGAAATTTCAATACACACACCCATCTGGCGTCGAAAACGGGCCGACGTGAACTTTGCCAGAGCTGTTCGGATTGGCGGATCCAGAGTTGGTCATGCGACGACCAGTGGTCGTGCGAGGTCCAGTGGCGCATCCAATTTGGAGGGAGGTTTTTTGTGGATCCAACACGAAAGTCTGAGAATGAGATGGTATCCCATATTCCTCACCATTTCATGCTCAACATCAGGGATTACAAAATTGATTGCCGGATGGATCACCCTTGGACAAGCCTAGCACGCGCCAGCGCCCTGATCGCCAGCTCCCTGCAGGAGGGGCAGGTGCACCTGTCCAAGATTGATGTCGGGCGCACGGGTTCCGTTCGTAGCGTCCGGTCGCTCCGTTCGTAGCGATGCCCAGGAGTTCCGCTCCTAGCGTCCGATCGCTCCTGTCCAACTTTCCTTAGGAAAGACATACGGTCAAACCATGGGCTTGCAGAGGAGCTGCTTCCTTGTGGACGTTTTTTTTTTTCCTTGTGCTCTACACTATTAGAGTGCTTTCAGAATCCCTTTATTCCAACCTGCCGAAGGTTTAATGCAGTTCTGCTCATACAAGAGAGGTTTATTAAACACATGTGGAAGTATAGCATTTCCCTGGCAGAGGGACTTTGCTTTCCATGCTTCTTCGAGAAAGGGTTGAGAACTTCCAATCTTTGTGACAACGTTCATCTCTAAATCAGTCCTTTTGACATTGCCTGCCTGCATTTGGTAGTGCCGTCGTGTCTAGGGCCATAGCGTCTATGGATCTAAGCAAGTAATGATCCCAAAAAGTACCCCTAAATGCCCCTAAACCATGTTTGGATTCCAGGCAGCCTGGCATCTCTAGCTTGGACCATGCCACGGTTCTCTTCTTGACAAAGTCTCCTCTTTTGGAGTCTTTGATCCAAGAGAACTCTGGTTGACCAGCAACCCACCAGCTGTTTGAGGCGGTGCAAAAGAACTTGAATGAAGTCAAGGAGCAAGCGAGCAAGGCGGTGCCGTTGTTCTCACGGTGTGCCAGCTGTCATTGTCACGGTGGTCGCGTCACCCTCTCGACAACAAATGGCACGCTGCTTTTGGACTGGACTCGACCACGGTAGAATCCAAGCGACCGGCTTCAAGGGGGCCCACAGCCGCAGTAATTCTCAAAAAACTTGAAGTTGCTCAAGCGATCCTTGAAAGCATAGAAACGTTCAGAGAAGATGAGATGTGGGGATCCATGTAAACCACCTTTGGCGTTTTGTGCCCCCCAAACCAAAAAACACATCTATAAACAAAGAACACATCCACATATATATCATATATATATATACATACACAAAACCCCACAGTCCTAAAGCTTTAGAGAGGATCATGTACTGTAAAACTATGCACGTTTTACTTCTTCCTCCTGTTAACATGCTTAAACAAGTTGAGCATCTCCGGATGGTTTCTATGTTCTTCCAAACCTCTTGCGCAGCTTTTTCCGCCGTGCCAGGTGGGTGGTTCCACGATGCTCGGCAAGCTGGTGGACCAGACGCGGCTCCTGGAGCAATCGGCTCGGCTCCCCAGGTGCTTTGGCCAACTCCCTGCAGAGGTGGGGATCCACCACTTGTGGAGATCCACCGGTCGGACGGTCGTGGTGGAGCCTGGGAATGTTGAATGCTCCTCCAAGCTGCGCGCAGGTGTGCAAGACGGTTCCATGATGTTCCATGCACCAGGAGGCTTGTTGGAAGGTTTTTACTTGAGACTCCTGACATCCAAAATTTCAGGGTGATCGAAGTTGACATGGTGGGTGGAATAGAATTTGCAGGCATGGTTGAGGAGTTGAGCTCCGTGCCCAGGTCCTAGAGCGACCTGGGTGGATTGATGTTGTTTCCTAGAGACTTGGCCCAGCAGAGACAGAAAGAAGTCGATAGAAAGGATGTGCTGTTTAAGGATGTTTAAGGGGCATTCATGAATTCTTACAGTACGGTCAGTCAGTATACTTCTTCTGGGGACAGATTCTCTTTTCTTTGTATAAAGTTTGATGTGGGGAAACGAGGGCACTGTTTGGGGTTTCATCTTCTTTAAACCCAGATGTTCAGATTCCCAACTCGGCTTTGCCTCAAACCACTTTCCCATCCGGCAAACACCAACGCGACCGAAGACGACCCGCCTTTCCGAACCTCGTCTCGTCTCGCTTCGCCTCGGTCTCCAGGTCTTAGCCAGCACCTCGCAGACGTCGGAGAGCCCAGAGACCGCCGAAGCCGTCCAGACCTGCGCGACGCACGTCGCGCGTCGCGTTTGGCGAGTCCACCGTGGTCGTCCCATGGAGCTTCCGGTGAGTTCCGGTCGTGCGTACGTTGCCCCAACTTAGCACCCACCTAGGAGTGCCATGTGTCAAGTCGTGTGTCCAAGCCACTCTGAAAAGGTGGGTCCCGGTCAGTGTCCTTTTTCCTCAGAACCTATTGAAGAAGGTCGCTCCCACTCTCTCAAGCAGGGAAGACAGGTTTGGTCGCTCCCAGCGCTCAGAACGCGTGTGGAGATTCCCACGGATCCTGGTGCCGCACGGTGATGGATTTCTCTCGCCGATCGCCGATCCAGGTGCCCAATGAGACAAGAGATCTTCGATTGTCACGACAGTTTCTCAACCCCACATTCTATGGGTTTGTTCCGCTTGGCTCGGTTCGGTGATTCAATCACTTTGTCATCCGAACCCAGGGTGATTTATATATATATCCTTCATATTAATATATAATTAAATAGAATCCTTTATGACGTCAACAATCGTTTATGTCCTGCCCCCAACGAACACAGCAAAGCAGGACTTGGATGCTGTTGATCCTTTTGGTGGTCATCGTGGTTCTGGGCGTGCTGATGTTTAACAGGCCGGAGTGCTGGAGGATGACTTTCTGGCCGCGAAAGTGGGACACCATCGTAGGAGCAGACTCCCTGATTAAAAGGGTGACTATTCTTCACTGCTTCAAGCTGTTGCTTGTCATTCATAGCTGCTGTAGCTTGTGATCGTTTGCTCTTTGCTTTCCTTGCAGGGTGTCTTGGCTTGAACATTGTGCATTTATTGTGAGGCCGCGTAGGACCAGTCGGCCCAGCAAATGTCAGCAGTTTGATGGAGGTTCCACTCCTCCCTGGGTGGTTTACCGTTCTTCTCGCATTCGGCCAAGAATCTAAAGTTGTTCTGTATGGAGGGATCCAGGTGTGGTACGTGCTGAGCAGACTGGGGACCCCTGCTTTTTTATGGGATGCCCTAAAGCCTACGCCATCCAACAGTATGCGAGCTGGATAGTCCATTTAAACACAACACTGTAGTAACCATTCAACACAAATTAATCAGACAAGAAACAACGCTTGGCAATTGGTATTCCTTTTAATCAAGTGTTTGCCTTGCTTCCTGACCCCTCTCCTTTTGGTCAGGATGCAATACTACGAGAAGAAGCACTTCATCTGAGTTCGTAGATGCACCTGGGCAAGCTGCACGAGCACGTTGCCTGCAAAAATTGTGGTGCCCAGTGCTTGGTCTACGAGATGAGCTGATTTGACTGACGACTTGACTCGTGGGGCCGCTTCAAAGACAGAGGAAGACGGCCTTCAAGAAGTTGACAACCAAACTGAAACTGAGGACACGTGTGAGTCTCGCGAGAAGTCATTTTGTATACTCTCTTGATCAAAAGTTTGTTTATTTCTTGATTTGGGTTCTATCTCCAACCACCTTTCGAAGGTTTGGAACCCCTGGAAGAACAGTCCATAGCCTAAGATCCAGACTCATCCACTTTGAGGCAAAGACAAAATCGATGTTTCATAGAGCGCACGGTCGAACGGTGGAACGTCGAGCGCACGCCGCACGCCTGAACGTATTGTTTTTCGGTGGTCTGATCCTTCCAACTTGACGGACAAGCACGCGGAAAGAGCGGGCAGACTAAATCAATTCCATTGCTTGGCGTGTCCCTCATTCTTGAAGCACCCGCTTTCACTCATCGCACCGGCCTGGGATGTGCCATGAGCCATCGGCGATCGCTTCGGTGTCAGGCCAGGAACCCGATCAACCGCGTGGGGACGAGGTATTTTTCCCCGTCCGGGCAATGGCTTTGGCAGGCGAACATAAAAGACCCTGAAATGTCAAAGTCCAAGATCCAAATCTCTTTAAACTCCAATCAGCACCTCCAAATCTGTAGAGAAATCAGTTCCTTCAAGTCCACTTCACTTTTGTGGATGGCTACTAGTGAGTGCAGCACCTTGGTAGGCTTGGTTTTGTCCCGAATGAAACTGGTCGCTGCAATTTTCTTAGCCTTTGCCATTAGGATAAGCCATCGAGTCCGCTAAAGAGAGGGGCTCTTGTGGATGAGTGTCCTTTGACTGACAAAACGCAGAGAACTCCTCCCCAGAACCTGATTGCATCCCTGTCGCCGTGACGTTCCGGTTCCGGCTCCAAACTGTGTGCCAATGGTCCGCTTTCCCAAACCATTCAAGCAGAAGATGCCCTGAATGTCTGGTTCAGCTTTCTTTGTTGGTGTGATGGATTGGCTCAACTATATGATTGGCAGTGCCATTTGTGTCCAAGTCATCAAAAGTCTAGGACACTCTTTGGTTTATCGATGGCCTTCGAGGTACTAGTTTGACCCTGACATTTCTTTGTGCAGCGTGAGTTTCGACCTGCAGTCAGGTCTGGCACCAAATCCAGAGGCCTTGAGTTTCGACGAGGCGTCAGAGTCTGCAGCAGGAAGATCTGGAGCAGTCACACTTCAAGACTCAAAATTAGGCTTTGGTAGTTCACATCCCCTGGGTTATACTCGTACCTCGTCATGACGATTCTTCCCCACAAAATGGGGCTATTGATAGGTACCCACGAGATCACCCATGAGCTAAATAGCAATGATAGATCGGAACTCATGAGAAGGGGAAGACCTTACCCAACTGCCTTTTGTCTTAAAACATTTGCGAAGATTCGCGACATGCACTTTGTTGAGGTGACGGAGCACCAAACATCTCAATCGTTTGGAAGGGCCGCATGTAGTTCTTTCTGTCGGACTCGCAACTTGCTCAACCAAAAAAAACCGCAACCCCCTAGGTCGTACATTCATGTCCATTGAGTTTGACTTGACTTGAATACAAGTGGTGGGACATGCACCTGATTCAGATGCCTTCGTCGACCTGCAGACATGACCTGCAGACGACTCCCGGTTAAGCCAGAGCGAAGACGACACCGTATCGCAAACGCGCAGCGGTTTGCTCAAAACCTCGATCGATGCGTATGTCAGGCTGTGCTATGACGCTTTTGTGAAACACTTTATAGAGTCAGGGTCTATGTAGTGTCCACATATACAAACAAACACTATATAAAAATAATCATAATATACAAATCTACAAAGCCTTCACCTAGTCTGGAAATCAAAGCAGCTGCAAACAGCTAGTCTCATCATTTTGCCAAACTTGTTTTTGCTTGACTTGCTCATAGAGAGAGTGCCTAGACAATCATGGATGGGCTGTGCTGGGCGGACGCGGCTGAAACAAACGATTACGAATGGGATTGGCTTCAAGAAGATGATGCGTTGCTTCAAGAGCGCATTAAGAAGCAGGAAGAAGAGACTCAGAGACCTGGCATTCTCGACTTTCTTCAGTCTTTGGCTTGTCTTTAGTTTAAGAGCGGCACCCAGAAATCCATTTTACCCTTGTTTAAACGCATCATTTTAGCTAAGAAGAAGGGTTTCGGGAAACGCGAAGACCGAGAAGCCTTCTTTCAAATTGTCCGACTTTAAGACTTCAAGGCGAAAGTGTTGCACAGATGTTCCTTTTCTGACTTGACCCGGTCATGGCTTGGCTCAGCGCCAAAAACAAACTAAGGTTGCGGGGTTTTAGCCAACTAGCGAAGTTTGCAAAGGTAGCGGCGCAATCCGAACGGCTGGTAGGAGCCTGGTCGGAAATCAACCCAAACCATCATACGCCGAAGATCTTCCAACAAAGGAGCTCACAAAAGATCAGAAGTCACACTGGACAAGAGGAACTGCCACAAACTATAAGACTCTTAAGACGCATCTTTTTTGGGCCACAACTTTCACAGCCAAGGCAAATCTGTGAAGGAATTCCCAGATGCCATAATATGCTGTAGGCTTCCGACTCTACTGGTAGTTCTTCTCACTGCATGCTTTTGCCTTTTTTGAGCATGGAGCCCACCGGTAAGTTGTTTGAAGGGCTCCGGGGCTCCTCTACTTATTCCAAAACCAAGCCATTTTTGGGGCTCTTGCTCGTGCCCTTTTCAGAGTCAGCTTGACTCATGCCAAATCTCAACAGTTATGCTAGATCACAGGACACTTTTGTGACTTTGTGTGCCTATGAAAAAGACGAAGACTCCCCCAAACATTTGTCCTGGACCCTCTGATCAAGATGACCAGTCCCTTCTGCTATATATAAAACTACAGAAAAGATTTCATGCCGGAACTCTACAGGCGTGGTTTTGTGAGCGAAGGCTCCCAAGAATGTTATATATACGATATGATATAATGATATATATATATGATTACATATGTTGATCTACATAGAATTCGCTGCTGTCGCTGAGGACGCTGTTTGAGATGTGCAAGTGGCTGCCAGATTGGTTGAAAACGCATCGATGGTTTGGCATTCCCGAAGAGGTGTGGCCATGGTGAGTGGGCGATTCCTGTAGAAACATGCCCCAGAGGGTGCTCAAGATATTCGAAACAGTGCCCAAACAGATTTCGATCAGTTGAAATGGTCTTCCAGGTTCGTCTTGTGTATCCCCAAACCAGTGATGACATGTGATAACCCATTTTGTAAACCTGGAAAAGCCACGCTGGTGCCTGTCGAGAGCAGGCACCATGTCGATTACAGTTTTGACATGTTCAGCTGTGTCCCGACTGCTGTGGCTGACCCCAGAAAGCGATAGGCACCTCTTTAAGGTGACTGCCTTCTTGTTCATGCCCTCTTCGCTATCCAGCAGACGTGGCAGACTCTCATGTTGGTTTTCGAGCCCTTATGGCTATGTTGTCTGGAAGTGAGACATCCAAGTGAAAGTTCCGCAATGACTGGGTGTAACACCCACACCACCACCACTTTTCCGACTGCTTTCCAGACTGCAACGAAAGTATTTTGTCATATCAGCAAAACCCAAATAGAAGCTTTTGCATGTGGTTGATGGACAACACCCCGTGTCACCTGGTACTGTTCTCATACACAGCCTTAAGGTTGTGCGAATTTAGTCTATTAGCAGTAAAATCGCTAGTTTGCGGGTGCTCTCTGATTCTTATGTATTTTCTGGGGCGCAGGGCCTGCAACCACCAGCGCCTGCAACCACCAGCGCCTTCGTTTTCACGGCCGCTCAGCCCTGGGAGGTGGAACAGCATTTGCACAAGATGGAGGACAATGGCGACATTTTGCGGTTGCAGGACGGTGGTGATATGGCCCAGCAAGCTCGCGATGGACACTGTGGACATGTGCGAAAATGAGACCATACCCGAAAACAAGCGAATGCGACATGAGAGAATGCATAGGGTTCCTAATTTCCGGGTTGCGAAAGACCATCATGTGTTTTGCCAGGAATGTTCAGCTTCGGGTGGTGTGGACCAAGAGTCTTCTGATGTTTTTGTGGTGTTGTGTCAGGAGCAAGAAGAGCATTGTCAGATGCTCAAGGCCAAATGTACCGACATCGAGTATGATGCAGAAGTCTGCAAAGAACAAGAAGTCGAAAAGAGAAAGCCGCTTCGACCGCAGCCTCCACGGGTTTTCAGCGAAGACGACTCCAGGGGATTGCTTGTTTCAGCCTGGCAAAGTGCATCATCGCAGAGATGCTCCAACAAGCTTGCCAAAATTTGGTGAACGAATTTGGTCGGGGTTAACCATCACCTTGAATCCTAACTACTGCAATCGACCATATAATGATATACACAATGATATATGTATTTGTACATTATATATGTATATACACGTCATGTTTTCTTTTTTTGGCAGACCAACAGACCTTCCTTGCTTGCTGATGGCCGATGACTGATATCACTGCAGTTTTTGTCCCTGTCATCCCCAAGGCTGACAAATATATGTGCTCTCCCCAAACTAAAACATGCATGAGTTGTGTGTCCCACCGGTAGCTTTTCAAAGTCGGAGCTACCTGACCTCTCCCACCAGACCTCGTCCTCGGGGAGGTGGGAAGAGGTCAGGTGGCTGAACTTTGGGTTGTGTGGGACCATCACTTGCCCTCAGAACTCCTCGTGGAGTGAGGGGGGCGAGTGGTGGCCAAGCTTGGCCTCTGGAAGCCCTAGGCTCCCCCGTGCGTGGGAGTGAGGGGTTCCAGGGGCCACCGTAAGGGGGTGTGAGAAGGCCACTTGTTCAGGTTACAAGGAGCCCCATCTCTCTCCTTGGGAGGGGATCCTGACGACCCTATCCCTCCTAGGCAGGAGCCTGGAGAACCTGAGAGAAAGAGAGAATGGAAAATCAACAGTTGAGGTTTTTCAAGAAAGGGGGCACCTTGGAAGATTGGAATGATCTGTTGCAGAGTGGCCTTCTGCCCCACCATATGACTTGGGTCGATGGAAAAGATCATGATGATATCTTGGCCTATGCCGAATCGGTTCTGGGCAAGGGTTGCGTGATGGAGTACGAGTGTTATGATTGGAATGGACGAGCCCAGGGCAAGGCTGTTTGCGAGTTGAGGACTGGAGTGATGCTGGTAGAGGTTTTCTGGTTGGAGATCATCTGATTGCAAGTGATGGGTACTATGAGTGGTATGGCCAGCAGTATTTAAAGGATGGGAAAGGTCTATATCACTTATGCAGTGGGGACCGGACAAAGTGCAAGGCAAAGCTGCCTCGTGGAGATGGAAGAGAGTTGGTACATATCAGTCGATGGAGACTGGCCAACATTCTGATGATGCATGATATGGAGTATGCAAGAAAGAAAGCCATGGATGGCATCATAAGTTTCGTTGATGGATGGACGCCCCGTGTGCCTGAACCAGCAGGAGCGCCGCCCCCGAAGGAAAAGCCTGAGGCTTTGGCAGACCAAGGTACTAAGAAGGATAGGCGTGAGGCGGCTTGCGACCCGACTGCTTTGGGTCAAGACTTGGAGAAGGCGAAGGAGGCAGCAAAGGAAAGGGAGCCCCAAGAGATCGTTGCAGGTGATGGAAAGAAGGTGGTCCCTACTAAACCAAGAGGGTCAGTCGGGACACTTTTAGAAAAGAAGGCTGCTGAGCGGCGTGAAGAGCTGAGGCAGAAGGAAAAGGAGAGAAGAAAGAAAAGCAGAGGAAGGAGCCGAAGTCGCGAGACACTCAAAGGCAATAAAAGAAAAGGGGAAAGCTCCAGTGAGAGGAGGCATATACGTGAACCCGGAGGTGTTCGTTCAGCGCCCGACTTGCGAAGGATTTGGAAGGAAACAATTCAGAAGAACAAGAAGCTGTGGGGAGTGCCTATGCGCATTAGGGAATTACCCTATTCAAAGGAAAAGAGCTTACAGCGAGCTCGGAGAGCAGAAAAGCTAGGGGCAGTAGTAGATGGAGATAGTGGCACACTGACGGGCTCGACGAAGAGAGCTTTAGACAGTCTGTCCTTGGTTTTCTGGCTGCTAGGCCACTGTTTGGGGTGTTCAGCTACTTGTGGAAGGACGTTTCAGACGGTGCAGTACTCATTCAACTTGACGCAAAGTCAGTGGAGGAGATTCTGATGGCTGGATCCAGTCAAGCATTGAGGGTGACTGAACTGGGAGCTAGGCTGCATGAAGTTACGACTGCTTCAGACGCGAGTGAGACCAGAGGAGGATCTGTGTATGGCTCAAAGCTGACCGCTCGGGGCCTCCGGGAGAAGTGCTCGCTTGAGGAGGAAGCAGATGATTTGGAGCAGAGGGGATCAGGAGGAGCCGCAGAGTGTCTTGGTGTTTGACTTCCTTCGCGGATTGGAGGCCTGAGCTGGGCCCTCAGGCCAAAAGGTTGATCGCCTGGTGGTGATTGAAAAGGATCCGCATTGCCTAAACAAGATCCGCTGGGCAGGATGTGATGTGGTGGCTGACATCGCCCGGGTGACAAAGGGCGACATTGAGAAACGCATGAGAGGCGTATCAGGCCTGACAGGAGTCAGCGCAGGTGGTGGATCGCCGTGCCAGGGAATCTTGCGGTCAAACGCAGATAGAGTTCACCTACTGGATCGAAGTTTTTCTATAAGTATGTGGAGGTTCTGGGGTGGATTGAAGATGTGGCAAGAGAGATGAGAGTGTGGTCTGTCATGATGGTTGAAAATGTGGTCAAGAACTGAGCCAGCAGCTAGGGTGTCGCCTGTATGTGTGCGTGTAGAGCAATGTGGGAATCGATGACCATCCCAGCTATCAGCTCAACCACCATGAATGTTATGATGTATTGGAGTTCAATGAGGAGTTGGAGCCGCTTAACTCGGTGTGTGACACGGGATGTATGGTTGCCCACTTACACCTATCGTCCTGAGTTCCTGAACATATGTAATTTGACAGCCCGCATCTGCCTTGATCAAGCCCTCCAAAAGTCCATGGCTTTTGTACTACACCCTGCGTTTGTCCAAAGAGTTCGCGCAACAAACCAGAGGTTTGCTGCCGAGCTGGGACGCGTGGAGGTGGGGGCTAGGAGGACTTGATCGGGAGAGGGCGCTAGTCTTTTGACTAGTCATTT